AGGCTCCGCTGAGGCCGCGGGGGACCCCGGGGCCGTGTGGGTGAACGGGGCCGTGGGGGAGCCCCAGGTGGTGGGGCCCGCCGGGTCCGTGTGGGTGACCGGCACTGGGGAGGAGGCGCAGGCGGCCCACCGGAGTCCCCGCGGCTGTGAGGGAAAGGGCCGCCCGGGCTCCGCGGGGCACGAGAGCATCCTGGAGCTGTGGCTGAAGGTGCAGGCGATGAGGGCCGCTGCAGGGTGTGGGGAAGGCAGCCGAGTCGAGCTCCATCCCGTCCCTGCCGGGCAGGGGCCCGTGGAAAGGGGTGTACCTGGGCGAGCTTCCTGGGTGGAGACCAGCCGCGGCGGCCTCACCGGACCGTGGGTGGAAGGACGGCTTAGGGCGGCCCCCCAGGCCTCAGACGGGGCTACAGCTGCTGCCCTAGGGGCAGGTCGTGAGATGCCCCCCGGCTTGTGCGGGCCGGGACAGGCTGCGAGGGTGCCCCCTGAGGGGGTGCCTGGGGCTGTGGAGATAGGTTCTGGGATGGCCCCACACCTGCTGGGGGGAGGGCAGGCTGCGGGGGTGCCCGGGACTGTGGCGGAGGGAGGCTGTGCCGGTGCCCCAGGCCCTTGGGGAACAGCACCGGCTGTGGGGGTGCCTGGGGCCCCGGGGTGGCCTGAGGCTGTGGAGGGAGAGGCAGGCGGTGGGAGTGCGCCGGGTGTGTGGGGGGGAGGGCGTCCAGTACAGGCGCCTGGGGCTCCCGCACAAGAGGCCGTCTGTGGGGACACCTTATGGGGCGGGGGACAGGCGGTTGAGGCCCCCAGAGCTGTGGAGAAGGAAACTGCCTCTGTGGGTGCTCCAGGCATATGGCGGAGGAGACAAGCTTTGGAGGAGACAGGCCCTGGGGGCATCCCTGACTTGTGGGGCACCAGACAGCCTGTAGGGGTACCTTGTGCTGTTGAAGAGGAAACTAGGTGTGGTGGTGACCCAGGATTCAGGGAAAGGGGACAGGCTGTGTGGGTAGAGACAGGCTCTGCGGGTGACCCAGGCTCATGGGAAGCTGCCCAGACTGCAGAGGTATCTGGTCCTGATGAGCAGGAGGCAGGTCCCGGGGGTGCTCCAGGCCTTTGGAGTGTAGGACAGGCTATGGGAGTACCTAGGGCTTTGGGGAAGGGGGCAGGCTATGGGAGTGTCTCTGGTCTGTGGGGAACAGACCAGCCTGTGGGTGTGTCTCAGGCTGGGGTGGTACCAGGAGCCACAGGAGAAGGTTGTGGTGGCATCCCAGGCCTGTGTGACAGGCAGCAGGCTCTGGGGGTGTGTCTGGCTGATGCAGTGCCAGGGGTAGTTGGGGAGGAGACGTGCTGTGAGAATGTCCTGAATCTGTGGGAAAGGAGGCAGGCTGGTGGGGAGCAAGAGGCTCTGGTGCCTACAGCTTTAGGGGTACCCGGGTCTTTTTATCAAGAGGCAGGATATAGGGATGTTTCATGTCTGTGCAGGAGGAGACAGGCTGTGGGCTTGTCTGAGACAGTAGAGATGTCTGAGGCACCAGGCATGCCCAGGGACAGGTGTGCCCCCGCCGGGGTCCCCACAGCTCTGGGTGTGCCTGGGTCTGGAAGGGTGCCTGCCGCTGTGTGGGTGTCTGGCCCTGTGTGTCCAGCTATCAGCTCTAGAAACGTCTTGAACCTGTGGGAAAGAGTTCACACTGCTAGAATACCCGTGGCTTCAGGGGTGCCTGCGGCTTCTGAGGAACTGTTTGCTGTGAGAGAGAGTGCTGGTTCTGCGGCGTTCCCAGGGTTGTGGGGAAGGAGACAGGTTCCCGGGGTTTCCGTGACTGACAGGGTTGCTCTGGCTCCTGAGGTACCTGGGCTTATTGGGGAGGAGACTGGCTCTGGGGGTGTCCCAAGATCTTGGGGAAGGAGACAGAGTGCCAGGGCTCCTGTGGCTGCCGAGGTGCCCACTGCTGCTTGGGTGCCCTGTCCTTTGGGGGTGGAGACTGGCTCTGGAGGTTTCTCACACTTGGCAGGAAGGAGACAGACTGCAGGAGTACCAATGACTGCAGGGGTGTCCACAGCTGGTGGGGTGTCTGTGGCTCCCAGGGCACCTGGGCCTGTGCAGGAGGAGTCCGGTTCTGGAGGTGTCTCAAGCTTGTGTGGAGAGAGAGAGAGAGTGCAAGGACCTGCAGGTGCCAAGGCTCCCACAAGGGTGGTGATGCCCACTACTGCCAGGATGCTTGGGCCCACAGGGGAGAAGCTGGGCCCTGGAAGCATCTCAGGCTTGTCGGGAGGGAGACAGACTGCAGGGGTATCCATGACTGTGGGGGAGGAGACACTCTCTGGGGGTCTCTTGGCCTTATCAGGAAGAAGACAGACTGCTGAGATGCCTGTGGCTGCTGGAGTTTCCATGGCTGTGGGAGTGCCCACGGCTGCTAGCGTTCTTGGGCTGGTGGTGGGTGGTAGTAGCTCAGGGGATGTCTCAGGTGTATCGGAAAGGAGACCGGCCCCTGAGAGGCCCACTGCTGCCAGGGCTTCAGGGCCTGCTGACAGGGAGACTGGTTCTGATGGTGTCTCAGGCCTGTGGAGAAGGAGACCCAATGGAATAGTCCCTGAGGCTGTGAGGGTGCCTCTGTCTTTGGGGGTGCTTGCAGGTGGAGGAGTTCCCATGGCAGGGCACATGCCTGCTGCGATGTGGGTGATGGGGTCCACAGGAGAAGAAACGAATGCTGCTGTCTCGGGCCTCACTGTGGTGAGGAGACAGTCTGCAGAGGGACCTGGGGCTTCAGGGCAGGAGAGGGGAGGTAGAAGTATCCTGGGGCTGGCAGGGAGGAGCCAGGCAGCACGGATGTCTTACACCCATGGGCATGGGACCAGGTTGTGGAGCTGCTCAAGGTCTGTGGGGGAAGAAACAGACTATGAGAATGTGCCAGGAGTGTCAGGGACAAGAATGCCTGTGGGGGTGGGTGAAGCTGTGGAAGTGTCCCCAGTTTCAAGGGAAGAAACAGACATTGGCCTTTTCAGAGATCACCCACAGCAGAGAGGGAGGAGGCAGACTGGAGGAGTGTCTGGAACCAGAGTGAGGGGGGACAGTTTGGGAGGAAATTGTATGTGGGAGGACAGATTGAGGGGGGCATTGCAGTAGTATACGTAGGGAACGAGTGGGGGTCCTGGGACTTTTTGGGAGGGAACAGTTTGGGGGGAGATTTTTCCTGGGCTGTGGATGAAGGCACAGGCTGTAGGGGTGTCTCAGGATGGAGGGGAGATTCGGTGTAGAGAAGTCCTATGGTATGATGTGTGGTAACAAATTGGGACGTTTCCTGGAGCAGTTGGAAAGAGACAGGTTTCAGAGAGAGAGGTGTCCCAGGACTTTGTACAGGGGAAGTTTGGGGATGGGTGTCCCCGGACTGTGTGTGTGTGTGTGTGTGTGTGTGTGTGTGTGTGTGGCATCACTCGAGGTATCCTGGAACTGTGGGGATCACCTAGCTTTTTTCCTGGTAGAGAATGGATTATTAGGCCTTTGGAGTCCTGGGGGAAATTGTTAACCACATAAAAGTTGCATGCAGTTGCCCTGGCCCCCGTTCTGCAGACTCCCCCATTCTGTGGCTCCAGCCCCTGAACTGTGGTGATACCAAGCCAGTTGGGATTACCTCACTCATGTGCTTCCTCCCATCTTTTGTTTTTTGATCATGTTTCTGCAGCCATAGGAGTAAGGACTCTTGGACAACTGCCTTTATATTCCTTCAGATGTATCTGTCGTTAAGCAAATCCAGCATACAAATGTTGGGTTTATTCAGAAGGTTAAATTAGGGATTTTTTTTATAACCTGAATTTCCCCATTGATTTACTATGGGATTCTTTGAGAGAACAAATTCTCCAGTACATTTAACACTAGTCAGTTTATGGAAAATCAACTTAATTCAACAAATGTTGAGTTAAATTGTCTACTATGCTCAAAGCACTGTGTTGTGGGAGATATCAGAGAAGAGCAAGACAAGGCCCTTACCCTCAAGGAACCTTGTCTAGCTGGGAAGATGAGACATATACCTGGGAAATAGGTAAATAACCTGAGACAAGTGTGTGATAAGCACATGATGAGTGCAGGGATAGTGAAGTGTCTGTAAGGAGGCATTCAGAATCGGGAGCAACTTACAAAATGCTTTCATGTCTTTTATTTCCACTTTGTGTCCAGGGCGGGGAAAGTGGAGGAAATTGGAGGTTTGGAGAGGTCATGCCGGTAGTTAATGGCAGATCCTGGCATAAGTCTAGACATTCTGATCCTGAGGTCTACTTAAAGTCGTTCAGTTATGTCCCTTAGAGCTACCTAGTAAAGTGTGGCTACTTTTTCACTAGTGTTGAGGACTTATTAACGTAGAAAGTATGTCTATAAAATGCCCTGCTGGGAAGTGCTTGTGGACCATAGCGGAACTCTGTTTTTGGAATAATGTCTTATTAGAGACCCTTGATATATGAAATTTGGATTGAAAGGGGCTCAAGAGATTGTGTGTCCTCTTATTCACTTGGGAAATATAATTTCAAAGTATACTTTTGAAAATGGAAGAAACTGTCACATACCTGTCCTTAAGTTCGCTCTTTTAGTAAGGTTGCTGTGGGCTACTAGAACTCCTTATGTGAGCATGATCCTGTGTTTCACTTATTCTTTCCCTTTGTTTGAAGATGCCTGTTCTGAAAGTAGCTTTCTTTCATTTTAGGCAATGGTTTTGGGGAAGAGCTATTGGCTGATAACTAGACTTGCACTTTTGTTCTGCACTGTCTGACATGATGGGACCAGGCAGACCAGCTTCAACCTGTGTTAACCTCGCATCTAGTGTCCAACTAGATGGGAGGAGTGACCCCTGGAGACTTCAGACCCAGGTAGTTTATTTTTTCCTTCATATTTTTATAATGAAAAGTTGAAAGAAAAGGGCAAGAACACCTTTTGAATCTTCTAGTTTCAGCAGTTGTAATAATTTGTCATGTTTTTTTATCTAACCCATCTCTCTAAAGTTGTTGCAGAACCATTTCAAAGTAAGTTACAGATATCACGACACTTTATGTCTAAAAATTTTAGAATACTGATCCTAAAAATAAACTCTTCTACTTAACCATAATACCATTATCAGACCTAAGAAGTTGACAGAGAAATTTTCCTAATATTACCTAATAACCACTCTTTATTGAACTTCGCCCCGTTGTACCCAAAATGTCATTACCTCCAACATTGTATCATGAAAATCTTCAAATATACAACAAAGTTGAATTTCACAGTGAACACCTCGATTCCATTACTATTTCACTGTGTTTGTTTAATTGCATATCTGTCCTTCACTCCATCCCTCTAGAATCCATTCATCAACCCATCTTATTTTTTGACGTATATCAGAGATTTCAGACACAAGTACCCTAACTACTTCAGCATGCATATCATATACTAGAATTCATTCTTTACCATTTTTTCTTTTGATGTAATTTTACATCTGAAATGATTACATTGAAATGTATATGTCTTGTCACACTTGCTTAAGTTAGACAGATGTATACACATGTGTAACCCATACCTCTTTCAAGATACAGATCATTTCCACTACCCCAGAAAGTTCTTTTATGCCCCTTCCTGGTCAGTCCCCCCCCACCCTCCAGAGGCAACCACTATTCTGATTTTTTTTCCACCACAGATTAATTTCATCTCTTCTAGGACTTCATATAAATGGAATCATATGCTATGTACTCTTTTGTGGGAGGCTTTTTTCACCGGGTAGAATTTTTTAAAGATTCACCCATGTATCGGTAGTTTGTTCCTCTTTAATACTGAGTAATATTCCGTAGCAGGAATGTGCCTCAGTTTGTCCATTCTGCAGTTGATGGACATGTGGGCTGTTTCTCGTTTGGGTTATTATAAATGAAGGTGCTATGAACATTCTTGTACAAATCTCTTTGTAAGCATGTTTTTAAATATCTGAGAGTGAAATCTCTGGGTCATAGGGTAGGTGTATATTTTTTTTAACAAACCAACAGACCTTTCCAAGGCGGTTTTACCATTTTACATTCCTACCAACAGTGAATGAGAGCCCCTCCGTTGCTCCACATCTTTGCCAATATTTGGTGTAATTTTTAAAATTATAACTTCTGATGGGTATGTAATAATACCTCATTGTGGTTTACAAAGAAAAAACTTTTTAAAATTTTGACATAATTTCAGACTGACAGAAGAGTTGAAAGAATAGTACACAGAATTCCTTGATACTCTTCCAGTTTCCCTAAATGGTAACATTTTATTACATTTTCCCTCCCTCTCTTCCTCCCTGTCTTTTTCTCCTCCCCCCACATTTTTTCTAAACTGAGTAAGTTGCAGACATGATGCCCTTTTACTTAGTACTTGTATTTGTATTTTCTAAAAACAAGGCCTTTTCTTCCTTTTTTAAATTCTCACCCCAGGATATTTTTCCCATTGCTTTTCAGAGAGAGAAGAAGGTGGGGAGGGGTGGGGGCGGGGAGAGACATGGATTGGTTGCCTCCTGCATGCGTCCACCGGGGCCAGGATTGAGTCTGCAAATGAGGTATGTGCCCTTGGCCAGAATCAAACCTGGAACCCTTCAGTCTGAGGGTTGACACTCTAACCACTGATCCTAACCAGCTAGGGCAAGGCCTTTTCTTATATAATCATAGTACAGTGATGAAATTCAGGAAGTTAACATTTAAAAAATACTGAAAATGATGAGAATGTGGAAATATGACTATACTAAGTGAAAAACAAAACAGCTTGTATCTATTATGATTAAAACTGACAAAACTTAAACCTGCATAATGCATAAGAAGGTGTAAGTGGACTGCTTAGAGTAAGATGAACTTAGGTGCAGGATAAAAGGTGTGACCCAACTGCCAGATGGAGAATCTCAGGGAGACCTGAAGAGAGAATGTCAGAGAAATGACTTAGGTCCTGTGTAGCCGTGCGGTGTGTCTGGGAGCAACTTTGGGGATTTCTTGTAATGGATTTTATTGGTCACTTGCTGGAACCTGATGTTTGAAACAGGACAGAAGTCCATAACTGGGGAGTTGAGGAACTTACTGGTTGCCGCTTGAAGCCTTCTGGGTTGACCTTTAGAGGAGCATACAATATGCTGTTAGTACACAGAAGGGTAGTGCTGTGGCTCTGAGCGATTGGAGGGTAGAACCGGGGCTATGTGATGAAGTCGGTGTGTGAGAGTGGCTGATTCTATCAGTACAAAATAAACATACCTGTGAGCACTGTTAATTGTGTTGGTGAAATTTTAGAAACTTGGTTGTAGACATACACCAGCTATGTAATGTGTTATTTTTCTAACGAGTGCTTTTATTTTATTTTTTTTAAAGAACCAGCTGCAGTTTAATAAGGATGTTCCTACACATCCAAGCAACTTGGCAATCCGGTATTCTTACCCATGTGCAATTAAAATTGAAAAACTGAAGAACTCACACAATGAGTCAGACCATTGTAAAGATTTGGATTTTAGAGATGGTTCTGACCTAAGCCGTTCTGTTTCATTTTCTGTCATATCAGAAGAGAGACTTAGCTATGCTGTCCACCTAGCCAAAAGAGATATGAAACGAAGACACTTTGAGGAGCATGTGAAAAAACACCATCTGACAAGTCAGCCCAAGATCTCTCAGAAATGTGGATATACCAGGCATAAAAGATCTGACCTTAGGGTGGAAAGGAAGGAACTGAAGAATCAGGAAGTTTTTCATTGCAGCCACCAGCCATCCAAGGTAGAAATTTCCAGCTCAGGTGCCAAGGTGTACGTGTACACATCTCATTCAGGACAGTCAGATCTGCACATGCCAAAGTCATCACCCACCCATGATCTAGGACTGCAGCCACATGGCAGGACAGGTGACCACAAAAGCCTGTGTGAACACAGAAGCCTGCTTGAGGTTCAGCGGCTCCAGAAAATATTGAGCAATTGTATCCGTAAAATTGAAGAAGTAACAAAAGAAGGTGAGAAAAATTGGTGCGAGTGGGATAGTTCAAATACATTCATTCTTTTGGGACCCCCGCCCCTATCAAATTCCACTCCCTCCTTCTGTCACTGCCCCAAGCACTCATGACCAGACAGGTGGACTTTGAGTTTGACCAATGTCTTTTTTTCTAAAGGGTTTTCCCTGCCCTAGCCCCTCCTTCAAACGTAGGCACAGCTCCTTTCCTGAAGGCTGCACTAGGCCATCGACTGACCGAGGGCCCAGCCTAAGGGTTGGGGTAGCTGCTGGTGGAACCTTAGGTCTTCTGTCACTAGAGTGCAAACTATCCTATAATGTTTTGCTTTGTTACCCAGAAGTCCTGACAAAATTATAGTTAATTTATTCAAAAAAACATAGTATTATGTACATTTTAGATGAAACCAGTTTCGATTTAGACAGTGTTGAGATGAGTACACAGCAGTGACAAGGGAAATGGTGGATATATATGCAAATATCTTACCACAGGGTGGAAAGGAAGGTGTATAATCACCATATACTGTTTTCTACAGTTCTTCAGTGTTCTCTGTACCTTGTGTTTCCCTGAGGAGTAGAGCATTGATTCCATGTGGAGAATTTAGTGTTACCATAGCTAATGAGTAGGGGAATCAAACCTAGCTCAGGCTCCAAGGAGTAGGGAGTTGAGCATCACATGGACCCACTGTGCTAGGATAGTACATAGTCTGTGATGGTCTTTGGAATTTAAAAATTTATATATGCTTATGTACATAAACGCATGTTAAATCAGGAATTTAAAGTGCCTCACAGAAATACCTGTGGTTGAGCAAGCTAGGGCAAACATGGAAATGAGGGTATTGTGGCAGAGGAAAAAATAAGGAAAGGCAAAATAAGATTTATTAGGGATGGGTTACAGATTTGTTTCGGAGCTTCCCAGCAGCCTGCTAAAGAGGAAAGTGATCAGCTGCGGAATTTACAAAGTCTGAAACAAAAGAAAAGATTGTGTAAGGAAATAATTATTGCATATATCGAGGCCAGAAAAAATTTCTCCTGTGTGCCTTCATAAAGAGTATGTAATGCGATATGATGATCAATTAAAAACATTCCTACATCATGCTAATGGGAGTGTTAAGATTCGTTTCTTATAACATTCCTCAGTGTCCGTCTGTGGCATGACCCCATGGCATACTTTGGTGGAAACCATGCTCCCAGGTGAGAAAAGCCACGAGACCCACTGCTCTGATGATGTGGCTTAATACAGGGGAACCTTTAGAGCAGAGCTTCTCAAACTCACTGTGCGGAAGGTCTTGGTGGGTTTTTTGTTTTTTTTGTTTTTAAGATGTCAATCTGTCACAAATCAGTACTTTCTAAACTATAATAAAAATATCACGACAATAGCATATTGCTATAAAAACCTGTAAATGCATACTTTTGATTTCTCTGTAGCTTTTTGTGGACTGGTAATAGTTTGTGACAGCCCCTGTCTGCAGCCTACCTGTTCAATAGCCCCGAAATGCCCAGTTGTGCTTCCCAAGTGCTGCTCTGCAGACTGGTTGCACCAGAATGATCTGCAAGGGGGGGAGGTACAAGAGGGTAAAGGGGGGATAAATGGTGATTGAAGGAGCCCTGGCTGGTGTGGCTCAGTTGGTTGAGCATTGCCCCGTGCACCGAAAGGTCGCCAGTTCGATTCCCAGTCAGGGCACATGCCCAGGTTGTTGGTTTGGTCCCTGGTCGAGGTGCATGCGGGAGGCAGCCAATGAATGTTCCGCTCTCACATTGATGTTTTTCTTCCTCTCCCTTCTTCTTTCTCTCTCTGAAATCAATAAAAACTTATTTTTTAAAAATGGTGATGGAAGGAGACTTGATTTGGGTTGGTGAACACACAATACAATATACAGATGATGTATTATAGATTTGTACAGTTTTGTTAACCAGTGTCACCCCAGTAAATTCAATTTTTAAAAAAAAGTAACCTGCAAGAGGAGCAGTTAAAAACTACTCCCGAGTCAGTCACCATTGACATTTAAGTACATGAACCCAGAGTTTTTCCATGCTGTGCAGCCCAGCAAGAGAGACAGTTTGGCTTGTAGGCTCCTCTGAGACTACATCTGTGTCCACACTGCTTGATTTCAAATTTTTTATTTCTTCAAAAATATTTTCATTAGTTGATCTTTAATGAGCAAGTATTAAAAAATTTGAATTTATAAAATATATTTAAAGCACTTCTTTTATCTGACTTGTTTAATGGAGTTTTACATAAGAATTTGCATTGTATAGACATTTGAAAACGACTGACGAGAAGGAATGACTGGGTTGCACATCCCTCAGGCAGTCAGTCTTCCAGAAACATTTTCTTTCAACTAACCTTTTGAAAATGTGGATCACCAGTGTATACGAGAGTGTACTTCCTGACAAATATATGAAGGCTTTGGACATTTATATAATCTTCATATGTTGGAGAAAAGATTTCTCTCTTGGATTCGAGAAAAGAAAGTGAAAAAGAAATCTTGCTAAACATAAAAATGGGCCAATAATGGTTTTTGCAAAAATAACATTACAAATTTTGGCTCAATATAAAGAATTTTAAAATAGTAAGAGTTACCTCATAGTGGAGTAGGCTGTCCAGTGGATTTTGGTTCAGGAAATTCTGCATGGAGGGGAGCTTGACCTGGTTAATGACATTGTGGCCCGCCCTTCTCTGAGTCAGTACACAGGCCCCCTCACCCTGATTTCTTGGCTGATGAAAAATGACATTTGTTATGATGACAGCCTCATTTTTAAGAGAGAGATCTTCCACTTTATTAACTCTTCGAGTAATTGAAAGTTTTGTAAGTTTTTATGTTTGGTTTATAATCCACTTTTGGGGGGCCGGGGTTATTTTCAGATAAAACAGAGGCAGCCTTGGATCCAGACCAGGAGCGGCGGATCCGTGTCTGGAGGCAGGAGCACGCGGCTCGCTCTGCCCGAATGCTCTACGCCCTCCAGCAGCAGGTGTGGGAGTGGGAGCAGTGGGACCTGCAGCCTGTGTTACCTTCTCAGAGTTCGTTTTCCTTTTGTCTCAGGAGTATTAGCGCACGGTGTCCTCCACGAATTCTAATGTGTTTGTGAGGCTAAGTTTCCTCAACACGTGGGCAAATACTTTTCTTTTTGTCATCTGCCTGGATGTGCATTTGTGTATTATGTATAAGTAGCCAAACTCCTTAAATAGTGGTTTTTGACTCATTGGTGTCAAAGACTCTTGAGAATCTACTAAAAGCCATGGGTTCTTTCCTCAGAAAATACTTATCCAGCACATATTTTTGCAGATGAAGTCAAGAGGATTAGTTACCTTAAAACCCTTTGTCCCCTGTTATGAACCCTAATCTTAGAAGAAAGGGCCTGTTTTAGTTTCCCATCTGTCTCATGTTTATTATATACTAGAACCTTAGTAATAGTAAATAATTTGATGGTCTTTATTGAATAGTGAAGAATGAAGACCACGTTAAGTGTCTTTCAGGACACATTTGGTGGCTGATAAATGAGCATTTACATTGTTTGTGGGTAGATTTTAAAAAATGTTCTAACTTTAAGGCCTTACTCATTAATAAGTCTTTAACTCATTTCTGGTCACTTAAGTCATATGTTGGCCTTATCGTTTGAGCCAAAACCTGGACCTTTTTATTTAAAAGAAAACATCTGAGTTAGATTTAGTTTCATATTCTTTTTGGGTTCTGTGTCGGTCTTTATATTGCCACTGTAGAGATTGTTTTACCTGTCAGACTTCTGCGTGAGAGCCTCCAGTGCTCTCGACGTGGAGGATGAGAGCCGAAGCTTTGTTGGCACTGAGGATGTTATGATGTGGCCCCTGCTCTCCAGAGTTACTGCCACCTTCCCTCCCTCATGTTCGTTCCTGTTACACTGGGGACCAAGGGATGGAAAGCCAGTAACTGTTTTGGGGGTACATGAATGCAGAGCCTTGCCTCGTTTTCAAGTGACTTGAGTGAATGTTATATTTGGACAAAACAAGCCGTGTCCTTTTCTACAAAAAAGATCAGTGGAAAGGTACAAAGTTCACATTTTCCTTTTTTACAAAACAGGTTAGAGAAATCCAGGAAGAATTGGATAAACTGAGTCCACATAATACTAAACACACTAAGAAGGTATGATATAATTTAATTTTGATTAATACTTATTTATAAATTAGATTTCCAGTGTTTTGTTTGTATCTCGTGTGTGTTCTCTGTGCTAATACTATTTTCAGTGCTTGTAGAGACGCGTTAGTGAGGGCACGAGCACCTTAAATACTCTGAACTTGGGGTTGTCTTCCAGGGAACAGGTTCTGAAAATAAATGTTTGTTGTTGTTGCTGGTATAAGAAACTAGAATAGGAAGGAAAAGACTTTGTCATGAGAAAATCTTTAAGCCTTACAATTCCCTTTGCTATGGAAAAGTTTCACAGTGGAAATATTCACTATAGAAAGAAGATAGACTGTAAATATTAAGGGTGAGATTAATGTCAAGGAAGTTTTGAATATTGAAATAACTTCTCACATTTCACTTATTGCCAGTCATGGGCAATGTCCAGGCTGGCATCTGCCCATCGAGGAGCCATTCGGGCCTTACAGATGTTTGTCACTCAGTTTACTGACCGGGGGGAGCACCCAGTGCCTGCACAGTACAGGGAACTGGGCAGTCTTATCCGCCAGCTGTCACTCTGTTCCACCAAAGTCGATGCTGATTCTTCTGATATGGTAATAGATATCCTGCAACAAATTGAGGTATGACATTGACTTATGTTTGTTAAAAGTGCTTTTGTTTAATACTTACCCAAGGATATGTTTTTTATTGATTTTGAGGGAGAGGAGAGAGAGAGAGAGAAACATCAGTTGGTTAGTTACCTCCCATACATGCTCCTACCGGGAATTGAACTTACAACCTTTTGGTTTATAGAATGACACTCTAACCAATTGAGCCAGCTGGCCAGAGCAAAAGTGCACTGTTTCTAAGCAGGGAAATAATGTTTAGCATCTCCAAATTTCATGGAGGATACAAAACAAAGCTGCTACACCTAGTATATTAAAGCTTTACCGAGGGCAGAAAAAGGACTTCATTTTTATTTTATTGTTTTTATAGTCTGGTCTATATAATATTGTGTTTCACTTCTTTAACAATTGGTGACTTGAGCCTAGAACATATAACAAATCTTAACCAGGTCCATAAATTAAGAATTTTCCATTTTCTGACCTTGCCAGTTAATAAAGAATTTATTAGCATAGAAAAAGAAAACAGTAAAGCAATCTTAAATCAGTGCTTTAATTAGAATATCAGTATGTAATCTAGAGAGATTTTTGGAAAGAAGAGACATTTTAAGATATATGGAACCAGAGCCTCAAGTCTTGTGATATGGTGAGAGACTTCTGGAAATCACACTGGCATGTACTAGTCAGGAATGAATAGTGTTCTTTGTTCTTACTGGTGACAAAGACAAGAAGGACAGCATGGCCTTAAATCTTGATAGTTCTCCGAAGTTCTCAGAGTGCTAACACATAATTTTGCAATTTTATCTTTACTGCAGTGCTGTGATTTGCAGAGGTTTTATTTTACAGATAAAACTTTTTGAAAAGCAAAGGTTAGAGAGATGACACAGTTACTTCTCTTGAGAGCTGGGTGTCAAATTCTTATCTTCTGATCCTTGCCACTGTTGCTTCCACTACCCCACACATTTTCATCCACAAAAAAACAAACAATGTCGTGTGACATAGTAAGCTGTGGGCTGTGAAGGAAAGATGCAGTGGGGAGAAGCATGGACTAATTGGCATACCAGTTTTACCATTAACTAGCCCTTGGGCGTTTTTAAGCGCCTTCTACCTTTACAGTTCCATTCTCCAGCAAATCTGTGAATGCATTGGTTTCATTCATGTATGTAGAGCTCTCTCAGGAATGTTATTGTCAAATTCAGACCTTTTAGGCAGAATATCAAGTCATTTGATGCTTTTTAAACTTACCCATAAGAAACATTTATTGGTCAAAATGATTTCATTTAGAGGAAATATCTTTATAATCCTAAAAGGATCTCAAGAGATTTTCCTAGTCCCTGAGTACCTTTATAATGTTTCTTAAACATAATGTTTCTCTCTCCTACTTTTGAAAGTATTCAGTAGTGCAAGCAATTTATTCTTGTTGATAGTACTGTACTGTCCCATCGCTTATTTTTTTGTTGCCTTACTGTCATCTGAACTAAATCTCCCTGGCTATGTTCAGTTGTCCTTAATTTGTACTGGCCAGATGGAGACTAGGCCCTCACCTCCAGCTAATGAGTGAGTGTGTACTTTGTTAGAAGATGTGCCTCTTTTAGAAAGGGGGGCACTGATCTCCTACCATTGTGGTAGATGAGTGATCAGAGCCACTGGACACACAATTTCCTTTAGTTTATGAAAAATTTATATTAAATGTAGTCTGTTTGCCCACTTAAAATATTATTTGAGTTTATGAGTTTTTATTGAGAACTAAAATGATTTTAAAGCATATGGGTTTATAGTCTGAAAACATAGTTAATATCTAAAATGGTGATCCTTAATTTTACGAATTGGATGTCTTTAAAAGTATTCATATTCTTTATCTTTTTGCTATTGGTTTTAGTTAGCTTAACATGTAAAAGGACATGCAAAATTCCTTTTATTAATTAATTTGGTGCCCGAAATAATAGTTTTAAAATTAAGTTAAACAAGATTTCCTTAATCATTAGAGATAGCCTTTTAATAACACATTTCTCTGGAGTCCTCATTTTCAGTTTTGTGATTAAAAGTCAGGCTTTTTAATCACTAAGAGATAAACTAAGAGAATAATTGACTGTTTCATGGCAGGCTTTGGAATCCCTCCTAGAAAAGAAACTGTCACCAAAAAAGGTGAAGAAAAGTTTCACTGAAATTAGGAGAAGATTTCCTGTTGGTAGCCCACGGTCCTTAGAGAGATGGCAAAGTTCATTGCCAAAGAGCGAGAGGAGACACTTCGTAACAAAGAAGATGTTTCCACAAGAAACAAGACAACCTTCAGTGGCAAAGAAGGTTCTTGCTGGTATGTGTCCTAAAGTGTTCATTGCAAGGTATTTTATTTTTTGGAATTGTCTGAACTGTAACAGTTGCTAAACTGAGGGGAAAGTTAGGATTTCAAACCTAGTCCTCAATAGGTGTGCTTGAACCAGGACAAGTGAATTGCAACCAGGATGCTTCCTTAGGCTGGGGGCTGGCATATTCTTCCACGGGGAGGGTGGAAAAGTACAACTCCCTTTTCCTACATCATAGCATTTGGACTACCCAAAGTAAATTTCTACACAGCTGGAAGTTAGAGCCCTACTTTTAATTTTCATTTTAACAATAGATAAATGCATATACACATGCATATTAGATATATGTGTATCTTTGTACTTAGTCAATAAATTCTTGTTATTCCAAGAAGTGGAATTGCTAGCTTTCATTGTGTGCACATGTAGACATACACTGCCAACTTGCCCTTGAAAGTGGGCATACAATTATGTTTCAATGAGCAGTGATCATCAGTATATATTTCCCCATATCCTTGCCAAGTACTTTATATAATGAAATTTAAATTTTTTTCCAGATTCTCAGTGGAAAATGGTATCTTATTGTATCATATTGCATCTCCTTGGTTCCTAGTGAGGAAGATTATTGTTTCTTTCATGTGTTCCTTAGCCATGCCTATTTCCTTTTCTGTGTTTGTCTCTTCATATCCTTTGCCCTCTCCCTGCTGGGATCTATGTCCTTTGCTTATGGATGTATAGAACTTTGTATAATCTGAATCCTAATCCTTTTTTGGTATACATATATTATAGATATTTTCTCTTAGTCACTTGCTTTTGCAATTTGTTTATATCTTTTCTGATACAGAAAATTTAAATTTTTTCAAAGTCAACATTCTTTCTTATATATTTTAACATTTTATGAGGCCACTCTTTCTGTTTTCTTCTTTTTCAAAATTTTGCCGATGGTGATTGATTATCTTCAGAGGAATTTAAAATGAGCTAGTTAGTCGGGTTCCATGAAAAATGCTGTCCCAGTTTTGATTGGTATTACATTGAGTTCATAGATCACTTAGGGGAGAAATGACATCTTTACAGTATGAAGTCAGCCCATTGATTTATTCATGTCCGTTTTCTGTCCCTTCAGTTGAATTTTATAATTTTCTGCATATAAGAATTCCTGACATAGGAATACATACGAATGCCTAAATTCCTTGTTAGGTTTATTTCCAGTTATTATTGTTCTTATGAAAGGGACCTTCTTTTTTATTACATTTTGAAATTGGTTATTGCTATGTATAGGAGAGCTGTTTGATTCATACATTGCGCTTATCTCTGGTACCTGGCTATAATCTTTAATTTGTTATGATAAGGTATACATTTGAACATTTCTGAAATTGAGATACATACTTTTTTTTTTTTAATATGTTTGTATTGATTTGAGAGAGAGAGGAATGGAAAGGGGGAGAGAGAGAGAGAGAAATACTGATGTGAGAGAGAAACATCGATTGGCTGCCCCTTGCATGCCCCTTACTGGGGACTGAGCCTGCAACCTGAGCGTGTGCCCTGACTGAGAACTGAAGTGGTGACCTCTTGGTGGAACAATGCTCAACCAACTGAGCCACACCAGCTGGGCAGGATACATTCTTAAGTTGTTGATATCATAATTAATAGGCAATATTTTAAAATTTGCTCTTGGTGCATAAAATAAGATGTTTATACTCAATGTTTTAGATTTGATGAAAACACGAGATTTTGTTATTTAATTCTTTTGTATTTTTCCAGATAGATGAGATCACCTACAAATAAGTTTTGCCTTTCTCTGCAATTTTTAGGCCTTTCCTTTTTTCTCTTTCTGCTTTGTTGGGTGGGCTTTAATTCAGAATAATACTGAATAATAGTTATAATGGTAGACATTATTTCCCCCCTGCCCCAGATTTAATGGAATGCTTCTCCTTTTTTTTTTTTTTTAACTTTGTAAGCTATGTTTAATTTCAGCATATATCTGTATATATATGTTCTGACTATTATTGGTTATTTACCATAATCATCAACACAGATTTTAAAAATCAGAATTGCATATACTGTACTTGCATAATTGATTAATGTTTATACTGCCCTAAGGATTACTAGATAAAAAAAAACTTTAACACTTTAATGAACGTCATTGTTCTCTGTATTTCTTTCCTTAAGATACTATTTTGGTGCTTTTTAAATTTTATTTTTCAATTACAGTTTACATTCCATATTATTTTGTATTAGTTTCAGGTGTACAGCAACAGTGGTTAGACAATCATGTACTTTACAGAGTGTTCCCCTGATATTTCCAGTCCCACCAGGCACCATACATAGTTGTTACTGTGTTATTGACTGTATTCCCTGTGTTGTACTTGACATTCCTTTGACTGTTTTGTCTCTACTTCTTTTTCATCCAGTCCTCCAACCCCCTGTCCTCTGGCAACCATCAGTCCGTTCTCTGTCTCTAGTTCTCTGTATCTATGCTCAGTTTAGTTTATTTATTTTGTTCTTTGGATACAGTTATTATCATTCATTTTGTTTATGTGGTGTAACATGTTACTTGGCTTGCGGATATTGTACCAACCTTGCATCCCAGGAATAATCCCACTCGATCATAGTGTGCGATCTTTTTAATGTATTGCTGGATCTGATTTGCTAGTATTTTGCTGAGGATTTTTGCACCTATGTTCACCAGGGATATTGGCCTATAATTTTCTCTCTTTGTAGTATAAAATGAGGTTGGGATTCTTCCCTCCTCTTGAATTTTTTGGAATAGTTTGAGAAGGATAGGTGTCAGTTCTTCTTTGAAAGTTTGATAAAATTCATCTGTGAAACCGTCCAGCCCAGGACTTTTGTGTGTTTGGAGTTTTTTCATTCCTGCTTCCATTTTGTTGGTTGTAATCGGTCTGTTTAGATTTTCTGTTTCTTCTTGATTCAGTTTTGGAAGATTGTATGTTTCTAGGAATTTATCCATTTCTTGTCTGATTTGTTGGCATATAGTTGTTCGTAATATTTTCTTATAATCCCTTGTATTTCTGTGGTGTCAGTTGTTACTTTTTCACTTTCATTTCTGATTTTACTTATTTGGGTTCTCTTTTTTTCTTGATGAGTCTGATTAAAGTTTTATCAGTCTTGTTTATCTTTTCAAAGAACTAGCTCTTGGTTTTATTGATCTTTCATATTGTTTTTTTAGATTCCATTTTGTTTATTTTCATTCTGATCTTTATTATTTCCTTCCTTCCACTCTCTTTGGGCTTTGTTTGCCATTCTTTTTTCTAGTTCCTTTAGGTGTAAGGTTAGGTTATATATTTTAGGTTTTTCTTCTTTCTTTCTAAAATATATCTTTATTGATTTCAGAGAGAGGAAAGGAGAGGGAGAGAGAGATAGAAACATCAATGATGAGCGAGTCATTGATCAAGCCCGCAACCGGGGCATGTGCCCTGACCGGGAATTGAACCCCGATCGCCTGGATCCTAGGTTGACGCTCAACCACTGAGCCACACCCGGCCAGGCGGTTTTTCTTATTTCTTGAGGTACACCTGTATTGCTGTGAATTTCCCTTTCAGGACTGCTTTCACTGTGTCCCATAGATTTTGGGTTGTGTTTTCATTTTCATTTGTCTCAAGGTATCTTTAGAATCTTTCTTGATCTCATTATTAACTCATTCATTGTTTAGTAACATGTTATTTAGCCTCCATGTGTTTTATGTGTGTTTTTTTAATCCTTACCTGAGGATATTTTTTCCATTGCTTTTTAGAGAGAGTGGAAGGGAGGGAGAGAGAGAAACATCCATGTGAGACACATTGATTGGTTGCCGCCTACACTCGCCGCCACTAGGGAGCAGGGAGCAAACCCCCAACCCATGTTATGTGCCCTTGACCAGGAATTGAACCTGAGACCTGATAGTGCACAGGCCACACTCTAACCACCAGGCCACACTGGCCAGGGGTAATGCTGAATTTTTTAATGTACTATTTATATGAGAGTGTGGACAAATCCAGTGAACTAGTTTTCCTTTTTTATTTAAAGTATAATATACACAATAGAAGAGTACACACATTGTAAATTTATGACTCAATTATCAGAAAACAAATTTCTATAATCACTGCTAAGTCAAGAAATAAAGTTACATAATCGGTATTTTCTAGGGACTGGCATCTTTCACCTAACACTTTGTGAGATTCATCTGACCTGTTTGTGTAGCTATGATTTATTTATGTTCATTACTGTATTTCATTATCTGAATATATCACAGTTTTAAAATTTATTCTGTTGTTTTAATTATTGAGTTTTTCCAGATTTGGACAGTTGTAAAGAAAACTACTGTGATTGTTCTAGTCTCTTAGTACATGTGTGCATGTGTTTCTCTTGCGTATATTCCCTGGAGTGGAATATTATTATATGTTTATTCAACTGTGGGAAAGATTTTTTTCAAAGTAGTTTTATATTCCAGCCGACTGTGTATGAGAGCAGTTACTACATATCCATGTCAGCACTTATTATTAATAGCTTTTAAAATTTTAGCCACCTAGTTGGTGTGTAAGGCTGTTGTTGTGGTTTTAATTTACATTTTCAGGATGAGTGATGATGAGGCCATTTCTGTGCCCACTTCACCCCCTTGCCCACGCTTCCTCCTTTTCCTTCTCTCTCTCCCTTCCCCACTCCCTCTCCTTTCTTTTCTATTGATTTGTAGTTCTTCCGAGGAGTATTCTGCACATGGAACCTTTCTCAGTTATCTGTATTGCAAATATCTTCTTAGAAATAAGCCTCAGCTTGCTTTTAAATGTTGCAGTGGTGTCTTTTGAGGAACAGAATTCTTAATTTCACTGCAGTCCAATGTGGCAGTCTTTTCCTGAGTTTTTGTTTTGGTATCTTTTTTTGTATTCTGTTTAAGAATCTCCCCTATGCCAAAGTTAAGAAGACCTTTTCTATGTTGTTTCCTAGAACAAAGTTTCATTTTCTTGCTGATGGATGTCCAGATGAGCCAGCACTGTGTTGAAAGGATCCCTCCGAAATTGGCATATAATGTCGCTTTGGTCATAAAGAAACTGTCTACATATGTGCGGGTCAGTTTCTTGGCCCCCCTGTTCTCTTCCACTGATCGTATATTGGTTCTTATGCTAGTGTTCACTGTCTGAGTTATTCTAGGTCTTGACGTCTAGTTCTTCTTCCAGAGTGTCTTGGCTAATCTTGACCTTTGGCCTTTCTATAGGAATTTTAGAATCACAATTTTCACTTTCCACCAACCTTCCTGTTACCCTGAAAACAATAAGAAAAATCAAGCTATTGGAATTTTGATGAGGAATTGATATCTTTATAATATTGAATTTCCCAGTCCACAAACAAGGCATATCCCTCCATTTACTTAGGTTTTAATTTATAGCGGTGTTTGTGGTTTTATACATCTCTTCATTAGATTTATTCCCTGGCATAGCTATTTCCAATTCTCTTGTAAATGATGTCATTTAAAAATTTTAATTTTGCCCTGCCAGGCGTGGCTAGCGGTTGAGCGTCGACCTAGGATCCAGGCGATCGGGATTTGATTCCTGGTCAGGGCACTTGCCCGGGTTGCGGGCTTGATCAATGACTNTGGTTGAGCGTCGACCTAGGATCCAGGCGATTGGGATTTGATTCCTGGTCAGGGCACTTGCCCGGGTTGCGGGCTTGATCAATGACTCTCTCATCATTGATGTTTCTATCTCTCTCTCTCCCTCTCTGTTCCTCTCTCTGAAATCACTAAAGATATATTAAAAAAAATTTTTTAATTTCTAATATATATTGCTGATATATAGAGATACAATTGATTTTATGTACTGCTGTTGTATCTAGCAACCTCGCTCAGCTAATTTATTTCTAATAATTTATCTGTAGATTATTTGTGTTTTGCTATGTATATAATCATATCATTGGTTTCTTTCCTCCTCCCCAATCTTTATTTCTTTTTCTTCTGTACTTTCTAGTTTTATTTACTGATCTGTAAATGACTGGTATAAAGGTATGTTAAAGTCTCTTTTGATACTTTCTTGATTCCTTATGTATTTTTATTCATTTTTGTTTTGTGTATTTTGAAATTGTATTGTTAGATGCATAAGAGTTCTTGGCTGTTAAATCTTTTGGGTGGATTTTATATGTTATATTATAAAATGTTTCTCTTTGTTGTTTTTAATGTGATTCACTTTATGTTTTGTTTGGTTTGGTATTAATGTTGTCTCATCTACCTAACTTGTTGGACATTTACTTAGAATAACAGTTTTCATTCCTTTCTGCTCTGTCTTCCTTTGATGTTTTATTTCAAGAAAGTTGCTTGTGAATAGTTTATCGTTGGTGTTTTTAATGCAGTTGTATAGTTCTTTTTATTCAATCTACTTAGATTTACTGGGACTAATGATACATTTGAACTACCTTCTACCTTATGTTTTTCATTTGTCATGGGGTTTCCCCTTTGTTGTGCTTTATTATATTAATAAAGTTTTTGTTGTTTCATTTTGTTTCCTCTACTGATTTGAAAGTTGTGTATCAGTTTGGTTTTCATTTGATTTGTTCTCAGTCTGCCGCTAACTCTGTGGCATCCAGTAACTTAATGCGCCAGCTCTAACATGAACGTGACAAACCTGGGTTCTTGGTAGACAGTTACTGACTACAATGTGATACTTTCTTCATCGCCTGGAGTTAGAGCTAGTAAAGCATCTGCCTTTGCCGGCCTTTCCCTTCAGGACAAGTGTCATGTCTCTTTGCCGTCATATCCCTTATATAGCTCAGTGTCTGAAACACAGCTAGGCACTTAGAGAGAGATGGTACCTCATTGTTTTAATTTGGGTATCTTTGACTCCTGGTGATCATCTGTTCACGTTTTTATTGACAGTTCATCTTTTCTCTCTAAATTGCTTGTTTCTGTCCTTAGTCTGTTTCTCTATTGGATTATTTGTTTTTCTCAAAGATCTGTGGATGTTCTTTATATATTTTGCGTATTAATCCTATGTTAATTATTTGCATTATAGATCTCTACTCCCAGACTCTGGCTGTGTGTAGACTTCATGGTGTCTTTTTGTCAGAAGGAAGTTGTAGCTTGGTCTAATTACTTTCAAATATATTAATATTATATTTGAGTTTAAGAAAGCCTTTTCTGTCCTGATATAATCATATTCTCCCTATATTTTATTCTAAAAGCTTAAAGTTTTTCTTTCACATTTAGGTCTTTGTTCCATTTAGAATTTAAATGTTCTGTGTGAGGCGAGGATCCAGTTTTAGTTTGCTACCTGTGGGTGTGAGTAGTCTCAGCACTATTGAGCACAGTTCACACTCACAGAGTTCCACGCCGCCTTTGCCACATCCATTTTGCATCACTGGTTTCTGCCTGTTCCTTCGTCACTCCCGCATCCCCTGATTGTACAGCTTCCTCATGAGCACTGTATCTCTGGTGGAACATGTCCCCCCACCACCCCGCCCCGCACTTTGTTACTGTGCTTCACAGTTATTTGGGCGGTCCTGGGGTGTTACTCTTCACAAGAATATTGGGGTCAGCCTGTTTAGATCCACACAAAAAAGTCTGTTGGGATTTTAATTGAATTTGCATGACAGTTATAGATCACTTTGGGGGGAACTGAAATCTTTACAGTATTCTTTTCATTCATGAAAATAACTTACTCATACCTTCTTTCTTTCACGTTTTTTAAAAGTATCTTTGAACTTTTTCTGTAAAACTCTTAGGTATCTTTCGTGAGATTTCTTCCTAAGTGCCTTATAGTTTTTGTTGCCAAAGAGAATAGAATATTTTTGTTATGTATTCTCTAATAATTTTGAAATGTGGGAATGATACTGATTTTTTATATGTTTTTCTTCTTTTAGCCAGAAACCTTGCTGAACCCTCTTCTTAGTTGTAATTGTTTGTCTGTAGATTCTCTTGATTTTCTATATAGAAAGCATTATCTCATCTTCAAAAAAGGGACTTTATTTTCTTTCCCATTGCAGGCTGAATGTCATGTATGGACTTCAGACTCTATTCTGTATCAAATGAGGAGCCATCAAAAGCTTTGAGAAGTGACGTTTAAATATTTACTGACTCCTTTAATCGTCACCCGAGGATATGCTTACTGATTTTAGAGAGGGCAGGGGGCGAAAGAGAGAAACATCAACGTGAGAGAGAACATCGATTGGTTACCTTCTGTACGTGCCCCAATTGGGGATCGATCCTGCAACGTTTCAGTCTGGGACGACACTGAGCCACACCAGCCAGGGCATTGTTTACAGTTTAGGAAAGACAGTTTTGGTAGCCAGGTGAAGGTGTGTTTGAAGATAAAGAAGGGGTCATTTAGGAGATACTGTTATCACTGTCACAGGGTATTGCAGGCCTGACCTAGGGTAGACACAGAAGGGAAGGAAGGGCAGAGATAAGTGCAAGAGATAATCTAGAATCGGTCAAAGGGACCAGGTGGATGAGTAAATGGAGGAGGTGAGAGTGAGGGAGTCAACCATGGCACCTGGATTCCTGCTTGTGGAGGGCAGTAGGAGTCATAGGGTAAGGAGTAACTATGTCAGCAAGGAGCTTATCTGTCTATAGATAATCATTCTCTCCCACTTGGTTTGAATAACATTTCCCGCAGTTTTTCCTTTTGAAATCTCCATATAGATAAGTATCAACCTGATGAAGAGCTGCCAATGACCCCGAGGTTGGAGAAGGAGCTTGATGTGTTCCATGCGGATATCCTTCCAGAAGAAGCTCCATCTCTTCTAGACCAAAATGCAAGCTTCAAGGAAGAGGCAGCCCTGGCAAAAACAAAAGCAGCGGGGAAAAAGCCTGTGCCTGAAAACGTGCCATTTAGGAAGAAAGATGCTCTGGCATCGGCAACTCCCCCACAAGTATGAAATCACTCCTTTCTTTCGGCCCTTTTGTTTTAACCCTATACTGTCCAGCGATGTGTGATGCGTAGGCTAGTAAGGTGGAGCCAGGATTGGAGTTCTTAGGGGTTTGAATGCCAGAGGCCTTGAGTTCAACTATCTAAATTAAGCTGACTTAGCTGAGCTCTAGGTTATTTTTATTTTTTAACAAAAATAGCAATTTTTAATGTTGTTGCTAAGACAGGGTATTCTCTCCTGTCCTGGTTTGCTAATATCCTAACTTATTTGATACCAAGGTCCTAATCAGGCAGGCTATTTTAATATTTAGGTTTTTCTGCTTCTGATTTGGAAGCATGAAATTCAAGGGGATTAAGATTTGGTTCCTCCTAAAGATAAATATTGATAAATAATAACTACTCAATACTAAAAGGCATCCTAGGGTGAGTACTTTCTAATACGGCTTTGGAAGCCAGCTGGCTCGAAACTACATTATATTTTAAGCTTCTGTTTGGAATTTAACTTATGGTCCAACCAGTGGAGAATGGCCAGAAGACCACCTCCTAGTCTAAATACCCTTGATGGTTACTGCCATTTAATGGTGCTGTTCAGAAGCTTCTATAGTGAACCCATGTATTATCCGGTGACCCCAGAAACAGAGATCAGCAGTTACCACCAGTCACTGCAGATCATGGATTTGGATCAAGACTTTCTTTCCAAACAGACTCTTTTGGGGTCTCTGGGAAGTCAGAATTGAGCCTGTGTGAATGTGCTTGGTGCTCCTCTTCAGGGAGAGCCTCATTTTCTATAACATTTAATACAGCCTGAATCATCCTGTTCAGATGGCATTTGCCTTTCTCCCTTCCTCATCATACTCTCCTGTATTAGCCCATTCAGCCTTCTAGAAACTGGTGAAGAAATGATCTCCCATTTTACAGATGTGAAACCTGAGGCTCAGAGAAGTTAAATATTGTGACCAAGAATGTTTTACAGTTTAACGTCCTTTTTTGCTGTTTGTTTAATTAGGAAAACATATAGAAATATATTTATGGCAAAGCTAGGGATTCCAATTTTATACCTCCCTCCAACCCCATCAGCATTGTTTTAGTGTAATTTACACCCTCCCCCAAATTTCCACCACAGTGCTTTCCAGTTAGGTTTTTGCTGAATGGATACATGAATAGCATTGGGGCACTGGAAGCTTCAGTAATCAGAGTTTCTTTGATATCCATTTGGCTTTATAATTCATATTTCTCTCTTACAGGGACTTCACAAAACTGAAAAAAGTAGACCAACCCAATCTCACAGCAAAAGTAGGTTGCATCAGACAACAGTTTCATCCAGATTAAAAATAAACCAACAGCCTATGAAAGACACAAGGGCTCCATGGATACCTCCAAACCCCACATCCCCACCAGCATCTCCTAAATGGTACGTAAAAATTCAAGGGACCATTTTATTTTTTCTCCACAGGTTAAAGGTTACCTATTGTTTAGAGCAAATAAAGCAGCAGCCTTAGTTCCCATTAAGAAACTATTAAAAGCTTATTAGGGTGAATGATACTTGGAAAGTTTTTGCCTAAAAGCCTGTTGGTTCCTTTTTCCTACCTGACTATGGGTAGTGTAACCTACATGGACAACCCCAGCACCTGACATGAGTCATTGTATGGAGGCTCCTAGGCTTTTTCTTTCTTGTCTCTTCACCCAATCAATTCTAGTTACATGAGGCCAGGAACTGTGCCCTCCCTGTATCTGAAGGTTCATGCCTAGCACAGCGCCTGACACTTAGTATATCTTAGTAGGCATTCAGTAGATCTTTGCTGGGTGCGTGAATATTTTAAAGTAATTCTAATTCCAGATAATTATGAATTCTTTGGGGAATTGGTTAAAGGGTAGCTTGTTTACCATGGGACAGTAGTTCTTGAAAGCACAATGGGAAGGACCAGGGGGTAGGACAGTGAAAGGAAGACAGCAAAAATGGAATACTATGGGGAGCAGATGAGTCAGAAGTTAGGTGCCTCAAGGGGTCTGCCTTTTGGGAGGCTGGCAGAAGACAGGGTAAGTAGCTTGGTAGAATGGATTCCCCTAAGGCTGAATGATTCTGAATGGATGGTTCTGCTTATGCACCAACCCTCCCTTTAAAGGCGGAGAAGCAGTGTCTAGAGAATTTAATGTCTTGCTAGTAGAGCAGATCTGGGATTAATAAAAGGTCTTCTGATTTCATAATGTGCTTTTTCATTTTTATTTCTCTCTAAATTCTGTATTTTATTTATATGTTAGTATAGAGATGTGAGTTCAGTTGGTAAACATCAATTAATTGAAGTTTATATTGCAACCAAATATATAGTGCATTGTCTTCTCAAGCGTATGTTGGTGGGTGAGGGAGGGGAGTGGATAAGGCTTCCAGGCTCAAGGTGCTATATTAGGCCTTATAAAGGTAAAGGGTTGCTTCATAATATGGAATGTAATTAGTGACCCAAATCTGTATATTATAACAGGATTATGTTGAAGTTTACCCATTCTTCTGTAATTGACACTTTTTTTTCATTTAAAATAGTGATTGGCCCTGGCCACTGTGACGCAGTGGTTAGAGCGTTGTCCTGCGCACCGAAAGGTCGCAGGTTTGATTCCCAGTCAAGGGCACGTCCCTGGCCCGGGCAGGTGCGGGAGGCACCCAATTGATGTGTCTCTCTCACATTGACGTTTCTCTTTCTCCCCCTCCTTTCTTCCACTCTTCTCTGGAAATCAATGGAAAAAATATCCTTGGGTGAGTGTTAACAAAGTAAATAAATAAAATAGTGATTGCTTCTGTGAAGCAAAAGGAGAACTTCTTTCCTTCGATGCTGAGCCTGAGTCCTGGAGGATCTCACTCCTGTTCACATTCAGCTCCTATGTCAGGTCCCGTGCTGGAGATCACTGTTTACTTTATGCTTTTATCTTTTCTGAGGTGGCACTTTTCAATGTGCCATTGGACACATTGTGGAGTGAACAATTGCAGAGAGATACATTCCATTCCTTGCAGTGCTGCCTGGCTGAAGGTGAAATCTAGCCCCAAAGATGCCACGAAAGAGCAGTCTGTCGAGCAGGAAGGTGCCCAAGAGGAAAATCAGCTGAGAGGTGCTGCTGAGCACGAAGCAGCTAGGTTTGTGCTATTTCCAGATCTTTGGCAGTGTAAGGGCCCCTTTCACGTGGATTCTAAACTGAACTTTCTTCTCTTCCCTGTGTATAAAGTGGTTATTTAAAATGTAAATTATTAACATTTTCTGTCAAACTGTACAGCTTAGACAGTGAACCCCTTTTTTATTCCTTCTTAAGAATTATGTGTGTCAGGTGCATTACATGTGTTAACCCTCTTGATCGTTGTAACTGTATAGAGTAGATACTGAGGTGATCACCCCCATTTTCCAAGTGAAGCACCTGAAGCAAGAGGTGTTAAGTAACTTACCCATGGTCACACTTTAGTCAGTGACCAAAGCCGGACTTGAACCCAGGCAGTCTGCCTGGGGACGGTGTTATTCTGGTTGCTAAGCACAGCAGGTAGTTTAAGATCTAGGATGGACACTGGAGGAAAAAAGATTAGGAGAGGTAGGTTTGGGAGTCATCTTCTAGGCAGTGTTTGAGTTAGTTACATGAGTAGGTGAGATCTCCAAGGGAGGAAGCTGGAAACAGAATTTGGTTGTGGGTCAGGATTGAGCTTCAAATAGGGGGGAACCAGCGGAAGAGCATCACACAGTAAGGAGAGGAGAGCAGGATAATGTGAGGCAGCCAGAACGGAGGGCTCCGGCGAGGACATCCTGCTTGTTGGACAAATTTCTAAGCTTGCCTGTGCCCTGGCCTTGGGCAGTTTGGTGGCACCTTTGGACTTTGTCCAACAACAATATTTGTAAATGTGTAAGTAAAATATACAATTATAAAAATATTTTTAAAAACTATATGTGTGTCGGTTGTCTACTGACAGTTTTGTATATGGTACAGGTGTGAGCACTATGGAGACTGTTCAGAAAGGGCCAAAAAGACAGACCCAGCCCCTGCTTATTTACTGTCGAGAGGGGGGCTTATCATTAGCTGTACTTTAAGATAGAACATGTGCACACGCCAAGAACTAAAGGATTAAGAACAGATTTTAGAAGGGGACAGGATGCTGCAGAGACATAGGATTCGTGGAGGGAGATGGAGAATAAATTAGGACGGAAAGAATAGGCCTTAAATAGGGGGCAATAAGTCAAGAACATTGTGTGTGAGGACAGCAGTGAAAACAGGTCTCTGCTTTCATTTGACTGAAATTGTTCTTGAAATTATGGGAAAGCAGATATGTAAATTTGATAGTATTTACATATCCTAAACTGAAAGAACCAAAGCCCATCCACATACAGTTAGCTTTTCCTTTCTCTTTTATTTGACTTCACTGTGCCCTAGGGCTTTCCTGAGAGTCCATTTCTTTGTCTAAACTTGTAGCTACAGCAACAGCTTTATTTTATAGTTGAACAGGGAATCCTAAGTCCAGTGGTGGCTAGTTTTTTTGAGAATATTCGCTGGCAGTTTTTGTGGCTCTGCACACTGGCTGGGAGTGCTTTTTACCCAGAGCGTTACATGGAGAGCTTTATGGGTCCAGAGAGGTCATTACCTCCTGTGTCCTTCCTGGAGCCAGGATTGGAGCTCCTGACTCCCGGTCTGTTTCCATGGTATTGGCACCTGCGGGTCCAAGCAGAATTGGTCTGACTCTTTTTGTACTGTCTGCTAGACTCGCTTGGCTTGATGCAGAAACTTCCAAAAGATTGAAGGAACTTGGAGAATTAAAAACTGAAGAAATGGACAAAATGCAAAATGAGAGGTAAATACCCGTTTCTTAGAGAAAGATAAAGCAGGCCCATTTTACATCACCTATCTATTTTAATAACTAATTGCAGTTGTTTAAAGGTGTAGTCATACTTTTTATGCTTATTGGCTGTCTGCCTGCTTAGAAGATTTTCATATCACCTAAGAAGCCTATAGTGGGGCCAAGATTGGAGAGCCGGGGAGTCCTGGCTGCTCTGAGGAGAGTTGGGGTGACCGTTTGTACTGTCTTCTAGGCTCTGTTGGCTTGATGCTGAAAGGATTATTGAACTTGAGCTTTATTCTAGGGTCATCTGGGTGGACTGTTTGCTAAGGACCCTCATGCTGGTCTTTAGGTCTCTCCTTTTCGGGGAGGGGGTGGCAGACTGTCCAGAGAAGAGTTCTGATTTTCAGCCTGGAGGTACCTACAGCCACTGCTGTGCTTGGCATCCCTTAGAGAAGAGACCCGTCCAGTGAATGAGCAACCAGACCTCTCACAGAGTTGGAGAGAGCTCCATCTTCTCAAACTGCCTTTGGTTCTTGTCCTCCATACTGAAGCCAGTACCCCAGGCCTGGGCGTACCTGGTGCTGCCAGTCCCGTGCCTGTGTACGTCAGTAGTGCACGCAGTGTGGGTTTTTGACTTTCCCATTGCTGGCTGATAATTAGCTTTCTCAGGTCAGCTAAGTTAGTATTTTGGCCTGTTTTCCAGCACCATTTTTCTTTCCTTCACTTTCTAGGTTTATGTGTAACTCTATTATTGTGGAATTTAGGTAGGGAACAAAATTAGTTTCACTTTTTCCATCTTCTACCCTCTTTAGTTGTTTAAAGGCAGCCATTAGTCTTTTAAAATGTACTGAAAGCCTGACATACTTCTTAGATGTTTGATGCAGGACCAGCAGTGTTGCATCTGTCTGGGAGCTTGTTGGAAGTATAGAATGTCAAGCTTTAGTCAGACCAACCTAGTCAGAGTCTGCATTTTAACAAGACCCTATGGGACTCATGTGGCCATTAAAATTAGGGAAGCATTGCCCTGGCCGGGTGGCTCAGTTGGTTGGAATGTTGTCCCATACACCAAAAGGTGGTGGGTTCGATTCCCTATCAGGGCACATACTCAGGTTGCAGGTTTGATCCCCTCACATCCATGTTTCTCTCTCTTTTTCCTCTCCCTCCCTCCCTCTCTTCCTCTCTCCTTTCCTCTGTCTAAAATCAATGGGGAAAAAATTAGAGAAGCATTGTGGGTTTATAAACATTTGATCTTCCTTCACCTAGAGTGGTAAATAAATAGGCAAACTGTGATATTTTCTTGCTTTTGATTTTAATTTTCTTTTATTTCTAAATAGTGTTTCTGCTACCCAGTTAGCAGACAAGGTAGAGAAGGCTGTTCTGGAGCGTTTGAAGCCTCTCCTGGCCAAGGCTCAGGTAATCCACTTCATCTCATTTGCTTGCCTCTTGAAAGTTCTAGAATAAAGAGAGCTGCCACAGAGGTCACACTGACCCTTTGTAGAACTGAGTGTTTGGCAGCTGGAGGCTGCAGTGCTGAGCTGTGCTGCATAGTGTGGGTGCAGTGCTGCGAGGGCCTCTTGTGGGCATCACAACCCACCACACACTGTTGATGTGCCTCCCATTGTGGGCTGGGGATGAAAACAAGGGAGAGAGAGTCCCACTTTTGAGAAAGGTAAGACTTTAGTTTGGGGAATGAGTTTTGATTGCAGTTTCCATTCTTAGTCAAATAGATCTATTGGTGATGTTGTGTTTACTTAACTGCTTTCACCCTAATCCTGTGCTCTTTCACTTCAGAGGTTTGAGATGATTGGCACTATTTTTCCAAAGGAGAGGGATGTTAGGGCAGCTTCTGGCACATGCCAGGCCATTTTTGAAGATGAAGTTGCATACAGCATCACCAACAGGCTGTGCCATCCTCCTATAAGCAATAAGCTGAATGTTATGGCCAGACCCAGTGGATCCATGTGTAAATAGGAAGAGTCTTTTTGTGTAAATGGATGAGGCCACAGAAGAATATTATCATTGTAAATGGAATGAATGGCATTCTGGGTCCCTGAAAAGGTCACTGAATTTCTGTAGCTCTAGTCTTTAGGAAATGTTGAGTTATTATTATGAGTCCATGGGAATCTCTGGACTATAGAACTGGTAGGGCTCTTAGAGACCAAAACACCCAATCTTCTCATTTTATCAATGAGGAAACTATGGAACCGAGAGGTGGCGTAATTGCATAAAAACACACAGCTACTCTGACAGTGTTTACAAAGTTGAGGGAGGAAAAGGGGCAGAAAGCCAGGATCAACACCTGACATTTATTTTCATGAAGACAGTGCTTTGAATTGCTACAAAAAGCCTAATGTAGCAAAAGCTGATGAACGGTTCCCCAAAGTTATTCTGTTAGAGAATACGTTTGTGCTAATATGGGTTGTAAATTTCTATAATTCATGAACATGCTTCTCTGTTTTAATAGCGAGCCCGTTCTTCTCTGGAAGCAGATACTCATTTGAAGGATCGACCATTGGTAAACACAGCGACAGTGCAGCCTGCAGAGGAGGTGCGTGTGGTATTATTACGTGGTAATGTCTCCGGGTGTAAGGAAAATGATGCACATGTTCCTTTGCAAACACTAGATTATCCTACTCAGGAAGTGGAAGTTATTTTTCATATTTGGCATGTTAATTCTTACAGTGTGTGTTTAGCATTAAGAGTTAGATCCGCCTTGCAAACAGCTCACAGAAATCTCTGGAGTCACAGGTTTTTGTTAGTGGCTCTTTTCCTCTCCTCCTGTTGACAGAATGTGAGTGGACCGTGTGACCCTGAATGTTGATGGCCCTCGGCAGGAGAATGGCTGTCCTCATTTCCTTTCATTCAGCCTAGTTTTGCTCATTACTGGCCTAATTTCCTTTATACTTAGAGCCTAATATTTATTGTTAAGCCAGCATGTTTTGAGTGCCCAATAATGACCAGTATCTGGCCTCACAGAAAGAAAAGATAGCCCAAGAAAGAAATGATAACATTTGAGAGCAGAAACAACGTATTTCGTGTTGTCCATCCTCTGGAGGAGCTGTGGGAACGTTCCCACCTACCTGGGGCTGTGAGTGGAAGGTGCCAACTGCATCCACTGAATTTTTGTGCAGCTTGGAAAGAAGTTACTGCTGTATGTGCTCAGAGCAAGTGTGAAGGTTTCAGAGTGAGAAGGAAGTTGGAATGAAGCTCCAGCAGTCCAACGACCTTGGGAACAGGAAGGAAGTAGATTTCAAAAGTCTATCCCTATTATAATTCTTAATCAGTATTTTAGCTGCAGATACTTTCATAAACTTTGTGATTATAAGTTTATCGTTCCAATATTTTGTGACAGAATCTCACGTGAGATGAGGCTTCTAAGCCTGGAAGCTGAAAGCCTGCATTTAGCTCTTACAAATCAGGGGTGTTGCAACTTGGTATCCTGTGCAGCAAAGCCACCAAGAGATGCTTTTATCCTAGCAAAAGAACGAGGCTGGTGTCTAATCTGGGGAAGCAATTCCATATGGCATTTTAATAAGAAAGAAAAATGAAGTGATTATAAATGCTGTCCATGAAGTGGACATGTTTGAATATTATTAAGAATAATATTCAATATTCTATGTAAGAATTATACTATAGGCATTAAATACTCTTTAATTTATTGAAGAAGAAAAGTAACTCGATCAGTACTTAGTATTCTGGGCTGCTGTTAAACATCAGGATTGTTGCAAAGAGCTTCCCAAACACACCATCAAGAATCAATGTTTATAGGCCCCTGCGGCCCAGTTGTGCACTGAAAGGTCACTGGTTTGATTCCTGGTCAGGGCAGGTGCCTGGTTTGTGGACTTGATCCCCAGTAGGGGGCGTGCAGGAGGCAGCCTATAGATTTTTCTCTCTCTCCATCCCTCTCTCTCTCTAAAAAAAAAAATGAATTAAAAGTCTTCTTTAAAAAGTCAATGTTTATAAATAACTGAATAAAAATGAACAAACAGAAACCTCAGTGAAGAAAAAGAATTATTTTGCTGCGCTGACTGACCAGGGGGCTGCGGGACCGTGAACTCAGGTTCTCAGAAGTTGCGTCTCCGAAATGGAGAAGGTGCTTGCTGCACTTCACCAGTAAAATACAGCTCTCAGTGATTTACCCACAGACAGCACGACCTCTGATATCAGGACAGAGCTCCGGAAGGGTACCATTGCAGCATATTTGCCTATTGCTGCTGCTGTTGTCACTCACTGAACTGGTACTTGAAATATATTTTTCCAAAATGTATGAGTTTTTTTAAAATTTAAAGTTATATATGCGCATGACTAAAACTTCAAACAATGCAGAAAGTATAATATAGAAAGTGGAACCTCCCCACAAAGGGATCTCATATGCTGGTTCTGCACCCAGCTTCTTGCTTGGCAATCTCCCCACATCAGCACACCAAGGCCTTTCAGTCTTTGTTAGCGGCACATGGTGCTGTTGACATTCTGTCCTTTACAGGTGAGGTTCAGCCCACGTACAAACACGTGCAGCTCAGTGAGCTCGACCCCATTACTGGCTTAGTTGTCTCTGGAGTTTTGTGATTTTATCATACTGGTTATTCAACTGATTCTGATTTCTTTAACTTTAATTAACATTGGGTATTTCTTCATATCTTTATTGGCTGTTAATCATTTTCTGTGAATTCTTAAAAGTTTTTTAAAACTGGCTGCGACTGCAACTGCCTTCCTTTGTGTCAGCCACTGTTCTGCGTACGACATGCCAGTGCCTGTGTAATCCTTACAACTTACCTACAGGATTACTGTTCCCATTTTACAGACGAGAGGCTAAGTAAACTTGCCACCGTTACAGGCGCATCACTGAGCAGAACCAGGCTGTGGTCCCAGACATGTCTCATTCCAAAGCCTGATAGGATCATTTGCCCAGCAGACATTTTTTTACTCCTCACCCAAGGATATGCTGTCACTGATTTCAGAGACAGCGAGAGGAACTCTGATGTGAGAGAAACATTGGTTGGCTACCTCTGGCTGTGCACCCAGACCAGGGGCCGAACCCACAGCCTGGGCACGTGCCCTGATTGGGAATCAAACCTGCAACCTTTGGGAGCGCAGGACGACGGGCCACCGGTGAGGGCCTGCAGCAGACATCCTTTGCAAAACTTCTTTCAGAGAAGATTATAGACATATATTATGATCGTATACAGTATAGATGTGTATTAGAATAAGAAAGTACAATGCATATAAAGATGCTGTGCAAATCGTAAAGTGCTTTATGACTGTCAAGAATATAAGGTCAAGAAAGGCTGGTCAAGCTCTCCTGGGTTGTAGGCAGAAAGTCTCAAGCAAAGAAAAGAATTGTGAACTTTGTGATGTCATGAAGCAAAAACATTGACCCAGAAGAGAATAGGTGCATTCTCTGGGGGGTATGTAGCATGTAAAATATTGGATATTCTGAGTATAGAACAAGGAAGATACTTGCTTTACTTGATTTACCAACTGGCAAAGCAGATAATAATGATACTTTACATTGGGTGCAGGACCTTTTTTCTGCCAAGGGCCATTTGAATATAACATCATTCACGGGCCGTACAAAATTATGAACTTAAAAATTATCTATAAAAATAGCTCCTAGATTTATTGAATTTCAAGCCCTGCCTATGGTTGCCTTGGTAGGGTCAGACCAAACGGCCCGTGAGCTGGATGTTTGCCACCCCTGCTGTACATGGACAATAATAGTATTACTTGGTTAATGCTTCTGTTTCAGTGACTGGTAAAAATTGTACTGATATTACTGATTTTGATATTTACTGACTTAGAGATTTGATTTAGCACAGAAACTGCCAGTTAGGCCCTAGCTGGTTTGGCTCAAGGGTTAGAGCATCAGCTCTCAGACTGAAGGGTCCTGAGCTCCATTCCGGGCAAGGGCACGAGCCTTGGTTGCAGGCTCAGTCCCCGGCCCTGGTCGGAGCACAGGCAGGAGGCAACCAATTGATAAGTCTCTCTCGCGTTAATACTTCTCTCTCTTTCTTTGAAAGCACTGGAAAAGATGTCCTCAGGTGAGGATTAAAAAGAAAAGAAACTGCAGGGTGGATCACCACGTGGTTGGTTTATTGTGCTCAAAATTAATCTAAGTTCCTCCGTTGTCTTTGTTTTGCCTTTCCATCCCTTTCCCTTATTTCGCAGGCTACTGTGGTTGATTGTAAATACAACAGTCCTCAGCTGGATGATATTTTGGAAGATACTACTCATGAGCTCCGAGCTATGACTCATTCTAAGATCTTGGAGCCTGACGCCTTGGCTACCTCAGGGGACAGCCTGTATCTGGAGACCATGTTGCGCCGAATGGAGGAAATGGAAGTAGGTCTGGGGCTGCAGGCTCTGGTTGGCCACGGGGGACTGGCCTCTGCTGAGTGCAGGTCCTCTCGTTTCTGTGGATTAGCAGTGCTTCAGAATCACACCACTGGCTTTAAGTCCTGGCTCATCTGCCAACCAAGTGTATGACCTTGATAAATCACTTACCCTCTCTAATAAGTAGGGTATTTTTAAAGATAAAATGAGACATTATGTGTCGTCATGCCCCTAGTAGCTTACTTCTGGGCACATAACTCAGGAAGTGATCATTATCAGTTTCCCCTGATATCATTGATGTGATTCAAGAAAACACCAGGACCATGGGCTCCTTCATCCCTCAGCCTGTAAATGCTGTTGCTTTGCCTCTTCTTCCCGGCTCGCATGTGATCCTGACGCATCACAGAGAAGTTTTCCTTCTTTAATTTCCATGATACTCCTTTAGAATGCTTTTCTCAGAATTCTCAGTCTTGGATATCACCTGACCCAACCCCGGGGTTGTTCAGAGCAGGAAATTGAGACACAATAAGGGAGTAAGTGATGTGGCTAAGGTTGAAAAGACATTCCCACCAGAGCTAGGATGAAAATCCACCTAGGCCTCCTAACAGCCAGTTCAGCATTTTTTAAATAATTGCACCACGATTAAATCTCATTTTGGCTTTGCTACTAAGTAGAAATATTAGGGAAGACAATCCTGTGTTGCTTTTTGAAAATTTAAAGATGTATAGTTTATCCCAGTCTTGTAACTTGATTTCCCAGTCTTGGGGGTAACTGTTTGGACCTGAAGTGTCCAGTATGGTAGTCTCTAGCCAAATGTGGCTATTTAAATGTAAATGAATTAAGATTGAACACACCACTCATATTTCAAGTGGTCAGAGTGGTCCCTAGTCTGTGATTACTGTATTAGACATGGCAGCTATACATTTCCATCATCACAGCAAGCTCCAGTGGGCAGCGCTGTCTAAATTAGATTAATTAGTTTGATTGCTTCATTTTATTTTAGGCTTCACCTCATAAACTAATCACTTCCTGCCCTGGCAGATGCTCATTTCTGGCAGTGTGTCTGTATCAAATGTGTCTGCTGAGCTATGACTTTCTTACTAGCTCTGGTTTGTAATGAAACTAATTTATTCTTATGAATTAAACTTTTTTTTTTTTTTAAAGAAATACCAGGAGACAGTTCGTCAGAGATATACTAAAATTGTATATACTGATCTTCATCTTTGGATGCAGGAAGAAAAAAATGGTGAGTGTTCCCCTCACTTTTACCCCAACAATATATCTTGAAAATTCTCAAACATACAGAAAAGTTGAAAAAATTCTACAGTGAACACCCACCTTGTAGATTCTACAGTTAACGTTTTGCTCTGTATGCTTTATTTATTTATCCTCTGTCCATTTATCAATTCGTCTTATTTTTGGATGCAATTCAAAGTAAGTTTCGGACATCAGTACATGTCTGCCTAAACATTTCAACTTGTGTATCAGCAACTAGAGTTTACTATGTATGGCTCTTTTTCCTTTGAGGTAAAATTTACATATAATAAAATGCACAAATCTTAACTGTGCCATTTCCTGAGTTTTCATGAATGGATACACTTTTGTTATCCAAATGCCTATCAACATACAGACTCTATCATCACCTCAGAAGGTTCCCTTATGCTCCTTCTCAGTCAGTTCCCCACAACCCAGGCAACAGTTATGCTTTTTTTCTTCTACAGATTAGTTAGGCCTGTTTTAGACTCTCGTATAAATGGAATCATACATATAGATTCTTTGTCTAAGACTTCTTTCATTCAGCATGATGTTTTATAGATTTATCTGATACTTGTTTCCTGTTGCCACTGTAACAGATTTAAGTTTGTAACAAGTTAAAGCACAGATTCAGTGATTTGAAACACAAATTTACTCTCTTACACATCTGGAGGTCAAAAGTCTGAATCAAGTCTTAAAAGGCTAAAATCAAGGTGTAGGCAGCTTCTAAGGCTGCTTGCGTTCCTTGACTCGTGACCACACTTCTCCAGACTCTGTTTTCTGTTGTCACATTGCCTTCTCTTCCGTAGTCAAATCTTCCTCTGGCTGCCTATTATAAGGACACTTGGGTTACATTTAGGGCAGACCCTGATAATCTAGGATACTCTCCCCATCTCAGGATTCTTAAAGTCCCCCTTGCCATAGAGGGGGACATTCTCAGGTTCCTGGTTCCGGGGATTAGACTGTGGAAACCTTGCAAAGCCATTATTCAGCCTACCACACTTGTATCATTTCATTCCTTTTCGTTGCTGAGTAGTATTCCATTTTCTGCATGTGCCACATCTAGTTAGCCATTTGCTTGTGGATCTACATTTGGTCGTTTCTAGTTTTGTGCTATTAGAAATAAATCTGCTATGAATATAGTGTCCCCAAAAATGTATACACACTTTAACAGCTGGTAACTCACTTAATTTTCACTCCTTTTCAGGTTTAACTGATTTGAAATAATGGGTGAAGTCAAACTAAGCTTTAAACAAAGAAAATTTATCCTAAACTGCCATTAGATTTTTTTTATGGGGATGCATAAAAGATAAAGTTTACGGTACAAACCGGCAACAGTCAACAAATTGAGGGCACACAAATACCGAACGAAATAATTCTTGGTGTTTGCCGTTCCATTGCTTTGCATTATCAGTGCCTGGGCCAGAACGGTCATCAGTTTGAAAACAGGCATTACAAAATCAAGTGTTCATTTCTGTAGATTCTTTTAAATTTAGAAAATGAACTGTATGTTAATAAACACTGACTTTGTAACCATTCAAAGTGTGTACATTTTTTGTTTGTTTGTTAACCCTCACCCAAGGATGTTTTTCCCATTGATCTTCTAGAGAGAGTGGGAGAGGGCAGGGGGTAGAGAGAGAGGAGAGAGGCAGGGGGTAGAGAGAGAAGAGAGAGGCAGGGGGTAGAGAGAGAGGAGAGAGGCAGGGGGGAGAGAGAGA